AAAAAAAAAAAAAAAAAAAAAAAAAAAAAAAAAAAAAAACCAGAGACAGGAGAGATTTCTCTTTTGAGAGGTTCCTAAAACTTAAGAATAGGATTTCTCTGAGTCTCAGATTCCTCATCTCTAACACAATCAAGCTAGATGATGAATAGGGCCATTTCTACAACTAACAGTTCATCATTTAATCAAATTGAAAGTTAGACTTTACCTCTCAAGGAAGCTGAATACACAATAAAAGCTGAAGTCATTCCATGATTTTATTTTAAATATACAGACAGGGTTGCCTGGGTGGCTCCGTCAGTTAAGCATGGGACTTTGGCTCAGGGCATGATCTCACAGTTCGTGAGCTCAAGCCCCACCTCAGGCTCCCTGCTGTCAGCATGGAGCCCACTTCAGATCCTCTGTTCTCCTCTCTCTCTGCCCCTCCCATCCCTTCTCTCTCTCTCTCTCTCAAAAATAAATAAGTAAATAAATAGACAGACAAGCCAGAAGTATGTGAACCTTAATACTCAAACTATAGCGCTGGTCAGAAGAATGGCCAAGTCAGTACTGTGCTAACTCTAGGTGCCTGAGAAAGTCTGTGAAACACTTTGATAAGTCTGATGATTTCACATACTGTTATCTTGATCCAAGTCCTTTGGGGTCTTTTATTCTCTTCAAATGCGGGGGCAAAAAATATTTCATAGTTCCTCGTGAACACAAGTTTGAGAATCACTGCTATACATCAATGTTAACCATTCACTGTGAATTCATACTGAAATGTGCATTTCTAGAAATCACGTTTTCACCTTTGCACCTAGTGGAACCACACGTCACCTCCCACCATTACGGAGCGCAACCTCGTCTGAGGCGGGAGTGCTCTCCTCCATTCAAATGACGCTGTACCTCATTCCCCAAAGGGAATGACAAGTAATTGTCAACAATCATTGTAAAGGCACCAGATGGAAATTCATGGGAAAAATAAGTACATTTATAGTGCAGTGGGGGATTTCAAATATTCCTTTCAAATAGAGCCAATTAAGATACAGAACTCTGACAGAAGTTCCACTCCAGAGGAAGAAAAATAATGTGCTATCCATGTCACTATTTTAATTGGCTCCACAAAGAGAGCATTTTCTAACCATTTGAAATCAAATCCTGCCAGGATGCATAAAATGTACTCAGTTGTGTAGACCACACAATATGACTCTGAATGCCTCAACGCTTCCCAAGTGTCTTTTCAGAAAGTGACACTATCAAGTTGTTTAGGGGAAGGACCTAAGTGTCGCACAATCAGATAACCCTTCATGCTGTAATCAGACAGAGAAACCAGGAATCCAGAATTCATCTATACTGTTGCTGTGCATCTAGAAAAAAAGTGAATATAATGACCCAAATCTACTAAGAGATTATCTATATTTTATTTCAGGGTCTGAGTCCCTGCAAATCTAAGAGTAGCACTTTCTTTTTCCAGTGAATTAATGTACGCCCTTTAAAAATGCTTAAAAAGTGCCCCAAAACACATGAATACAAAATTCACAGAAGGGAAAACATGAGTGTCCACTACCTATGAGAAAGTACTCAGGCTTACCCTTAATCAGAAAAGTGCATACTAAAATAATTAATGTAGGGACACCTGTGTGGCTCAGTCAGTTTAGCATTTGGCTTCGGCCATGATTTCATGGTTCATGAGTTTGAGCCCTACAACAGGCTCTCTACTGTCAGCATGGAGCCTGCTTTGGATCCTCTGTCCCCCTGTCTCTCTCTGCTCCTCCCCCGCTCATTCTCTCTCTCTCTCTCTCTCTCTCTCTCTCTCTCTCTAATAAATGCAAAACTTAAAAAAATTTAAAAATCATGAATATGATATCCCTTCATACCCACTATAGAGGCAAATATGGAAAATCAGATCATACCAAGTATTGGCAAGGATGTGAGAGGACAAGCACTGATTTGGAGATTGTAAATTGGAACAGCTATATCCAAAGTCAATCTGGTCATTTCTAGATAAATTAAGTATGAATATTCACTATGGGTCAGAAGTCTCATATTTAAATATCTGGCCCATAGAATATCTCACATTGATTCCTAAGAGGCTTATAAGGGGACATATACAAGGATACTCAACAAAGGCAGCACTTCTGTGGCAACAGTGATCTGGAGACAAGCTAAAGGTCTATCAGTAAGCAAGTGGATAACTGAAGCTGTGGAAAACTTTGTATAGAATATAATTCAGAAACAACACACTCGGTTTCTAACAATAAGTTGGACAGACATCAAAAACATTGCTGAGTTGAAAAAAAGAAACACAAAACAAGATAAATAACAGCACATGATTTTTATGTAAATTAAAAGCCTACAGCCTCCAAAGCAGTACCATGCATTTCATAAGAATACCTGTAAATGTAGAGATACATAGAATCTTCAGGAGGAAGAGAATAAGCCTGGGGTTTGGAGCTGAAAGGAGATAACATACTAACACAAGTGACAGGAGTTGTTGGGCCCAGTAACGGAAATTCACTATGTGTTGAGGCGTGTTAGAAGCTCACATTTCTGCAACCAAGATTCAAAAGGAGGAAACAAAAAAATAATAATAATAAAAAGTTTCTTCTATGCCGCTGATTGTTTCACTTAAATTAATCCTTCCTACTTACAAAATACCATAGTCAACAATAAGAGTAAAACAAAAAATTCAGAGCATCAAATCCTCATTGAGTAACTTCTATGCATAGGACACTACTAGAAAGGCACCGACAAACTAGCCCACAGGCAATCGTCAGTTGTGTACTCACCATGTACGAGACACCAGACTGGACAAAGGATTAAAATATGAACCCACTCAAGTTCTGTCACTTTGGTTTCACTGGGTTTTAAAAATCTCAGAAATCTACACGGAGAGTATAAAATGATGAAAGTACACACACATTACAGTAGAGATCAAGAAAGCTTATTCAAACTAAGCTTGCCATACAACTTTTCCCAGCACCGCTCAATTCATTTTAAGAGCTCCTCTTTTGGAACTACCTTCAAAGTCTCTGGCACTTTATTTTGGAAATCCTCAATGGTGGCAAAGCTTATATTCGAAAGATGTAGTTCATGTTTTGGTAAGTATTGCCAAGCCATAAAATAACAACTTCTATGAGCGCAGTTCTTTAGGCTTTATAGAGTATTCTCATAAACTCTATTTTGGCAATGTGTTTCACAATCAGACAGAGAAAAAAAAATAATGATCAAGTGGGGATACTTGATAGAGACTTGGTAATAAAACAGTGAAAATGATTTCTTAATATGCCATGAAATGGCTCTACAGGCAAAGGCAAAAGCAAAATTGTTCCAAATTCATTTTAAACAATGGCTGCAACAGCCTAAAAATAAATGTAAAGACCTAACATCTAAGGTAACAAGATTAGACACTTAGGCTCTGGTATTTCTGTGTTAACTTCATTATATTTGAAAACTCAAGAGTGTTCACACAACTGCTAGATCTAATAACACTGCTGTGTAGAGCAAAAAGTGGCAAAGCTTGAAGGTCTCGGTTATATTCTCTTCTCTTCTAATTATAGTAAGTTCTTCTATAATGCTTATTCTGCTTCTGCAGACGTGTTGTAATGTAATTGATATGATAGAAAACAATTTGCATGTAACACAAGTTTTGCATTTGCATAGGCACAATTTTGTCCACCAGAAACACTATACTAGGTAAGCACAGAAACTCCATCCAGGTGAACGCAGCCATACAAGAAGACACAAAAGGCACGCACCTCAAATATCTAACAGCAACTAGTTCACTGTGTGCATTATCCCACAATGCTGTGTTTCACTGTTCTTTGGTAACTGTGAACTTGCCTGTATGAAAAAACCCTCTTTCAATGTCCTATTTATGTCAAAGTATCCAGATTCAAAAATGCCACAAAGTATATGCAGAAGGGAAGTCTTAAATCTTGAGAAAAAACTTGAAATAAGAATTTTGAGGCATCTGGGTGGCTCAGCCCATTAAATGTCCAACTTTAGCTCAGGTCACGATCTTACAGTTCATAGGTTCGAGCCCCACATCAGGCTCTGTGCTGACAATTCAGAGCCTGGAGCCTGCTTTGGATTCTGTGTCTGCCTCTCTCTCTGCCCCTTCCCTACTCTCTCTCTTTCTCTTTCTCTCTCTCTCTCTCTCTCTCTCTCTCTCTCTCCCCCTCCCTCCCTCAAAAAGAAATAAACATTAATTTTTTTTTTAAACTTGAAATAATAATTGTGAAAGCAAGAGAACATGTTGCTCTCCTGAGTAATGGGCATGAAGAAATCAGGATTGCAGACCATCAGAATCAATGTGGGGGTGGGGGGGAAGCTCTACAGATAGAACAATTCAACTGTTGTGAATTCATAAGGACACAGAAGTAGATGAAGAGAATATTGAGCAAATACAGCAAATAACAAACAGAAAAAAAAAAATCAGAAACAACCCTTTTCATGACCAAAGAGAAAGCACCATCTATCTAAGAAGACCTTAAGCTAAAACAGAAATTGCTAAATCCAGCACAAATGGCTCATTTTAGCGCTAGTGGTGGCAGGTGTGGTGGCCTCAAACATCTGTACAAATTTCCAAAACTGTCAGCTGTTGGGTGAAGCCACAAGTGAAGACAAAAACGCTGTAAAAATTTGTAGCAGCGCTACCAAAATTAATTACAGAATAAAGCTATCCATCGGATCAAATTTTCGATCTGATGAAACAAGTTATCAGTTATAAACATATGCCTCTAAGGCCCTAGTCTCAACAGCAGAAAAATATGCTCCAGAATGTAAGGCTGTAAAAGATAGCAAATGTGTATTACCCTCCTTAAACCACTTCACGATAACTCATCAGGAGGAACCCATTCGTTGTCCATCTTCAAAAGCAAATTCCAGATCTTTTTCAAGATAAAGTGCCATATTTACTGAAGTATTTGTGGACATGGCTGTGCTGCCGTTTTTGTTATGTTTCTACCCTTTGCTTGTGATGCCCCTAACCCCATTTTTACCATAAGCCCATGACTTTTATTGCTTAAATTTGCATAGTGTGGTTATTGTGAGTTCATATTGTTTTGTATTTCATATTATTGCATAACTGCCTGTATGTGACCCCCTATGTCACCATGCAGGGAATACCTGTTAATTTGATCTACTGAATAAATCTGCCATTCAAAAAACTGTCACTTCCCCAATATCAGGCATGAAATTTGATTTCTCCACAGTAGAAAGACACATGTGACCCCGTCCAGCCAACCCGAGTACCTTGAACCCTGGGCCATCATCATATTTGAACATGCGGTCCAAATAGAGCCAAATGGAGTCCTCCTAAACAACTATGTTTCCTGGAGCTACCAGAAAAGAACTGTCCTTATTTCTTCTGGGTCTCTAACAGTAAAAAAAACAAAAACATCTCACTGCCTAGCAGCCATCTTTGTAACCAAGAATGAAGAATAAATCCAACACAGAGTTTTAATAACATCATAGAAATTTCCGGATCTAATTTAGAAGCTAGTTTATATGCAGAGATTTTTTTTTTTAGCAACCTGAGCCAATATGTACCTAAAAGTTTTAGCTATTTTAAATAGAGTTTCTGTTACTGGGAAACCAAAAGCGCATTGATTAATATATGCTGCTCAGAGAAGCCTTTTGCGATGCCACAGATCCGACACTCCCCTATTATCTGTTCTACAAAACACTCTACTTCTCTTGTGGAGGAGTCATGGCACAGGTAATGGTGCTGGATTCCCCAGAGCACCATAAATTCCTCGAGGGTAGAGATTTTTGTCCGTTTACCACAATTTCCCAAGACCTCACCCAGCATTAGCGCCTCATGAAGGTTCAGTGAATGTCTGTTTAACAAATGAAGACTGAATGAGTGAACACTGGACCACTCAGAGCCTGTTTGCTCATCTCTAAAATAAAAAAGCAGGTGATTGTTGCCTGCCTTTTTTTTAATGGGGATCTCATAATCTAATGTATGTGAAAGTGCTGTGTTAGCTATGAAGCAATAATTGTTATTCATTCAGCATATACTTTGGTGCCCTAGTGAAGAGGAACATAATGGAGTTGATAAAAGCATGGGTGCAGAAGTCAGAGTGGACTGGAATAGTAGCACTGTATCTTAGTAGCTGTCTAATTTGAAACAAGTCATATATCTTCTCTGAGCCTGTCTCAGGGTTTTGTGAGCATTAAAAAAGTTAACACATTCAAAGCCCCTTAATTATATTTTAGGTATGCTATGTGCTCTATCAGATACACTGATAAAGCAAAAAAGGATTCTGTCCCCAAGAAGCTTACAGTCTAGGGGCGCCTGGGTGGCTCAGTTGGTTAAGCATCCGACTTTGGTTCAGGTCACGATCTCACAGTTCGCAAGTTTGAGCCCTGCGTCAGGCTCTGTGCTGAGAGCTCAGAGCCTGGAGCCTGCTTCAGATTCTGTGTCTCCCTCTCTTTCTGCCCCATCCCCACTCATGCTCTGTCTCTGTCTTAAAAATAAATAAAATATTAAAAAATTAAAAAAGAATCTTACAGTCTAGTAAGAAGACAAATCATGGGGGCGCCTGGGTGGCTCAGTCGGTTAAGCGTCCGACTTCGGCTCAGGTCACGATCTCGTGGTCCGTGAGTTTGAGCCCCGTGTCAGGCTCTGTGCTGACAGCTCAGAGCCTGAAGCCTGTTTCAGATTCTGTGTCTCCCTCTCTCTCTCTGCCCCTCCTCTGTTCATGCTCTGTCTCTCTCTGTCTCAAAAATAAATAAATGTTAAAAAAAAAATTTAAAAAAAAAAGAAGACAAATCATGTATATAAACAACTTGAACATAAGACAAAGTGGGTGCCCTAAAAGAGCTATGAAGTGCTATAAGACGTCACAGAGGATCATGAGAAGTCAATCACGCCAGTTTTTTTTCTGCCTTTTTTAATGTATTACCTTAAAAAAATTATTATTATAGGGGCGCCCGAGTGGCTCAGTCGGGCTCAGTCAGACTTCAGCTCAGGTCATGATCTCACGGTCTGTGAGTTCGAGCCCCGCATCGGGCTCTGGGCTGACAGCTCAGAGCCTGGAGCTTGCTTCAGATTCTGTGTCTCCCTCTCTCACTGCCCCTCCCACACTCATGCTCTGTCTCTCTCCCTATCTCAAAAATAAACATTTTAAAAATTTTTAAGAATTATTATTATAGTTTATATGCAATATTATGTTAGTTTCAGATACACAACATAGTGATTCAACAATTCTGTACATTATGCTATGCTCACCAGGATGAGTATTAGTTACCATCTGTTACTATGCAATGTTGTTATAATATCATGCACTGTGTTCCCTATTCTGTACTTTTTATCCCCATGACTTATTTATTTCATAACTGGTAGTTTGTACCTTTTAATCCCCATCACCTATTTCATCCACTCCACCCCCACCCCGCCTGCTCTGGGAACCACCAATTTGTTCTCTTTATTTATGAGTCTGTTTCTGTTTTTTGTTGCTGTTGCTCATTTGTTTGTTTTAGATTCCACATACAAGTGAAATGATACAGTATTTGTCTTTATCTGTTTGACTCACTTCACTTAGAAAAATACCCTCTGGTTCCATCCACATTGTCACAAATGGCAAGATCTCATTATTTTAATGGCTGAATAATATTCCACTGTGTACTTATATACCACATTTTCTTTATTCATCTATCAGGGGAAATCTGGGTTGCTTCCATATTTTGGATATTGTAAATAACACTGCAATAAACATAGAAGTACATACATTTTTTTGAATTAGTGTTTTCATTTTCTTTGGGTAAATTCCCAGTAGTAGCTCTCTCTAGTCCTTTAAAAGTAAACATTTTTCTCTTTCTGAAGTTACTAAAGTATCTTCATACAAAGTAGTATCTTCATCGTCAAGCAAGTCGTAAGAAACTCTTAGAAACAATGATATTAAGCTTCAACCACCGAATCTCCTATTGACATTGTTCTATATAGTAAATCCAAAAGCATTTAGATGGAAATTAGAAAAACTGTATACAAACTAAAAAAACAAAACAAAACGTGCATGGCTTCAATATGGACATCTCTGCCTACGTGATCTTGTTCTTATATCCTTTTGACTTCATCTCCTATTATTCTTTTTCCTCATTGACTTGTCTCCAAATTGCTGCTACCATCAAAGGATTCATAAGCTGCCAGGGGACCTTGGCAGGGTGAAATAACAGCCTCCAAAAATGTCCTTCATCTAATCTCTGGAGTCTGTGAATATTACCTTACATGGCAAATATTTTTGCATATGTGATTTTGCATATGTGATCAAGTTAAGGATCTAGAGATGGGGAGATTATCGTGGATCATCTGGGGGGGGGGGCCTGATAGAATCACAGGGGCGCTTATACAATAAACACAGGAGTCAAAAGAGAAAGCCATAGGGGTGCCTACTGGGTGGCTGAGTCTTTTGAGTGTCTGACTCTTAATTTCAGCTCAAGTCTTGATCTCATCAGGAGATTGAGCCCAGTGTTGGGCTCTGCATTGACAGCATGGAGCCTGCTTGGGACTCTCTGTCTTCCCTGCCCCTCTGCCCCTCCTCCACTCCCACATTCTCTCTCACACTTTCTCTCTCTCAAAAATAAATAAATACAACTTTAAAAGACAGACAGACAGACAGAGAAGACCATGTGATAATGGAAGCAGAGATTACAGTGATGTGTCTTGAGTGGAGGAAGAGAACATACGCCAAGAAATACAGGTGACGACTAGATTTGCAAGTAATTGCAAGTAATCAAATTCTTCCCTTTGAGTGTCTAGAAGGAATCAGCCCCGCTGACACCTTGACTTTAGCTCAGTGAAACTGCATTTGGACTTCTGACCTCCAGAACTGTTAATAAAGTCAACTTGTGTTGGGTAACCCACTAAGTTTCTGATGATTCCTTAAAACAGCCGCAGGAAATGACAACAGAGACAGGAAAAAGTGACCCCTGTTCTTTGATTTTTGGCTCTTATTTTTAATGAGAAAGAATGTTACAAAGCACCCAGATGACTCCCAACTGAGAGTTCATTTACAGATGGGTAGCAACTGGGTAAAAATTCTGAGAAGAGCTTTCTACCACAACAATTTCCTAAAAAAAAAAGCTAAAAGGCTAACTTCCAAAAGCACAAAAATATCTTGGAAGTCACCCAGGATTTTGAGCAAAGTTAAAATCCAACATCCTCAAGCTGAAAGAAATTTTCTCATTGTCTCCATTCTTACATGCTAACTTTATGAGAAAATGCATTCCAAACCTAAGTTGAGAACTGGAGAGGTAATGCATAATCATAAAGGAGTCCAATTTTTTATCAAGCACTCTAGAAGTCCATCATCCACGTGCCTGTTGTAATCTTTAAAGTCGACTCTGGAGTGAGGAGACAGGAACACACTCATTCTACTATTTCTGGACCACCGTCACCTCTCCACCCATATCCCATGCATACGTCACATGATCACCTTTTCCACTGCCTGCCTTTGCACATGCTGTTTCCTCGCTTGCGGTGTCCCTCTTCCATTTATTAAACCCAAGACCTAGTAAAAGGCATTCAATTTTATATATATTTTTTTAAGACTCAATTCAAATGTTGTCTCCTTCATTAGGTTTCTTTGACTCTAAGCCCTAGACCAGCTCCCTGCTTTTTGCTCCACCTGCCATCTTGGGACAGAGTATCATTAGGAGCTATGCCACTGTTCTGATTACTTGTCTATGCATCTGTTCCCCCAACTACCTGGAGGCCTCTCCTGGGCAATGACTATGCCCCTATTCCTCTCTGAATCCTAAATGCTCACCACTGTGCCTGGCACATAATGGGCGTGACAAAGGTTGGTTAAAGAAATCAAAGCATCAATGTAGCAACGTCAGGAAACCAGTCTCAATAACTTACACCTATCTCCGTGGTCTACTGTATATCTTCAAGACTTGCCTCCAAAAAACATTTGTTTCTAAAAATCAAACGTACACTTGAGAAAAAGTTGCCACAGTGGAGAATCTACAAAGCGATGTGTGACTAAAAGCTTGGCTTCCGGACTTAGACCCCCACTCAATCCACCTCTGCCACAGCCTCCACGACCTGACTCTTCTTACATCCTTTTGACTTCATCTCTTTCCCTCATTTACTTGCCTCCAAAGTGTTGCCCCTCCTGGAAACCTACCAGGTTTTCCTGAAGATAAAATGAGATAATAGGCACAAAAGCATTTGGAAATATCAAAGTGTTACACAGATAGTTGCTACCATGATGGCTAGCCCAAATAGCCAGTCTTTATAATATGGGGTAGCCAACTTACTCACTTACTCTGTCAATGCCCTTCCTTCCCCTGGAAGCAGCACCTTCTGATTCTGGGGCAGTTAATAGCTCCCCTCTCCCTCCCTATTCATTGGTCCAAACAAACAGGAGGTGTTGCCTTGTCCCAGGCAGAAGCAAGAGACAGAAAGGGCAAGTTCTGAAGTGTGGGGGACCCTGCGGGACCTGAGGCCCACTCTACCTCCCATGGCTTACCAACGTACATCAATATATTCCTGCTTCTGAATTTGGTCTCTGTCTCTTGGAACAAAGAGATTCCTGACTAACGTCCTTCACCACAAAGTAAAGAGGAGCAAATCCCTCAAGTTATTTCTTCACAACAATCAAATGAATAGGTTTCTCGAGCTATTTTTTTTCAACGTTTATTTATTTTTGGGACAGAGAGAGACAGAGCATGAACGGGGAGGGGCAGAGAGAGAGAGGGAGACACAGAATCGGAAACAGGCTCCAGGCTCTGAGCCATCAGCCCAGAGCCCGACACGGGGCTCGAACTCCCGGACCGCGAGATTGTGACCTGGCTGAAGTCGGACGCTTAACCGACTGCGCCACCCAGGCGCCCCTCGAGCTATTTTTTAAGGAGCATAGTACGAATATTTATCAGGCCTTGTGCTTATAAACATTATACTGCATTACAGATGAATCTAGAGAAAGACAAACACTTCCATATAATAAGTAGCAACATGGCAGAGCATGGCAGGAATCCAGGAAATCCGAATGTTAAAAGGATGCCTTCAGACAAGGGACTTTGACCCTCTGGAACTTGTTTTTTCATCCAGAAGATGCCAGGATCCGTCTATGTTCTAAACTACCAACAAACATATATTGTGTGGTTCAGAATACAGCAGCACTTCCCGAACTTTTTTTACGTCAAAAATTTAAATGTCTTTTAGTAAAGAAAAATGAAAGAACTTCTCCACGGGATTTAAATGAAAGTTCAAATATCCAGAATACTTAAGAGATCATTTCACAGTTTTTTTAAGGCAAAACCAGAGCCATCATTCAGTATATGATTAATGAACCGAAAATAGGAGATTACCAGGAAAGTTACCTTTTTATGAACTTATCTAGCTTGCTGGATAAAAACCGATAAAGAGAACTAAATTCATCCCCTGCTGAAGTGTGGCTAATTCTATAATCAATCACAGCCGCATCCTTCAATATGGCAACAAGTACTCACTGAGCAACAATTATATGCAGGACACTGTGACAGGTGCTGAGGGGAAGGCAGGAAGGGATAAACTGGATTTATAATCTCACCTCCCTGCTTAAAGTCCCCCCTCCCCCGACAACAGCATTGCACTTGGATGGAAATCCATGTTCGTTACATGACCTTTAAGGCCTGACTTTGAAGACTCCCACCTTCCGAGCATCTTCTGCCACTCTCTCCCTCAACCTCCCTCCTCCCAAGTCCTATTTCAGATCCCAGTACAGCCAAGCACTTTCTTGCTTCAGGAACTTTGAATATACTCCTACTTGATATTCCATCTGCCTGGAATGTTCTACTCCCACTCGCGCCATGGCTGGCTGGCTCCTTCCCTCCTGTTCGTGAGGTGGGAAGTAAAGGCGACTTTTTCCCAATCACACCCTCTCTCCTCCTGCACCCCACTGTCATCACTGTTATTCTCTTTCTCAGCCCCGTGTTCGTTCTCTTACCATGGCTTTCCCCAAGTGGTACTTGTATCTGCTTGTCTCCTTTGGCTCTGCCCGGGTGTGGGGAGGGGGCAGGGGTATGGAGGTCTGTTTTATCCAATGCCGTATCTTTAGTCCCCAGCACGGTACCAGATACACAGGAGTCACGCCATGAAGATTTACAGAATTAATGAGTGAATGAAAAAAGAAGATTCACAGAAATACAATAGCTGTAACATCAGGTAGTATACATTAAGTGTTTACAGGGTAGGACAAAAATGAGAAGCCGGTGTTTCAAGCAAAACCACGAAAGAGAAAAGCGCAAGTTCGGTCTTCTGTGAGGTATGCGAAACGACATAGTTGGTGAGACTGCATCTTGTACAGTCTTGAGGGCTAAACAAGGGAATCTGTATTTATTCCATGAGCAATGGGGATTTGTTTAAAGTTTCTGATAAGGAGAGTAAAATTGTTATATCTGTGCTTTAGAAGAATCTGTCTTATCATCGGTACAAATGTATGAAGGATAGAGACCAGAAGAGAATCATACCAGCAGGCCAGGCCAGTGTATCACAGAAGAATAAAAGAGTCAGAGCAGAGGTTCCTGGGTGGCTCGGTCAGTTAAGTGGCCGACTTCAGCTCAGGTCATGACCTCACTGTTCATGGTTTCAAGCCCCAAGACACGCTTTGTGCTGACACCTCAGAGCCTTGATCCTGCTTTGGATTCTGTGTCTCCCTCTCTCTCTGCCCCTCCCCTGCTTACACTCTGTCTCTCTCTCAAAATTAAACTGTAAATTTTTTTTAATTTTAAAAAAAAAGGGTCAAAGGAAAAAGTGAAACTACACAAAAGAACCTTTGCAATTGATTAGACAACGGAAAGCAAGAGAAGAAGTAGGTCCTCCCAGGGCTATGCCAAGGTTGAAAGTGGGAAAATCTGGGAAGAGTGAAGGTTCTGGGTTAGATAAGGGAGATAGTGACTTCAACCCTGGCTTTAAAGCCAAACAGAAGAGCCAGACTCCATGAGTTTGTTACCTGCAGCCATGTTCTCATTCTGCTATACAACTCTCTCTTCTACGTTGTTCTTTTTTTCTTTCTGTAATTGAATATGCATTTAGTTTTTATAAAATATGTACATTTATAAAACTGTATTTATAAAAATAATTTATAAAATTTATAAAACCTCCATTCACAGCCCAGAATATATATACCCATCATATATATATATCATATATATACCATATATATATATCATATATATATGTATACACATACATATATATATACACATATACATATATATATATATTTGTGTATTGTGAATATATATAGAGATCCTACTCATCTTTTTAAGGCAGCAATTTGGTCTTTCATTGTGGTATGGCCTTTAATATAGTCAGTCAATCTCCTACTGGGGGCTCTTTAAGATACTTTCATTTGTTACTATTGTAAGCAATACCTCAGGGAACACCCTTGAATACACATCTTTGTGCAGCTGTTTGGTTCATTTCTGCAAGCACATAGCAGAAGTAGTGAATGGGTCCACTTTTCTGGAAAGCACTTACAGGAGGGTCAGCAGAATTAAGAAGGGCATCAGGGACACAGCCTGGGGCCCAGCAACTCAGGCCTTCCTTTATGAGAGGATAACATGCAAATCAAGAGGAATATCTGGGGTGATTCACTGCAAGGTCAAACAGGTCTTTCTGTACAAAAGATACAGCATTTGTCACCCCAGCCCTTCAGAAGATGGACAGTTTTCTGTAAAATAAAGCCAGAACTTGAAAGAAAGGCCTCTCACAGTTTTTCTTTTCTTTTTTTCTTTTTTTTTTTTTTTTTTGGTTTTCTAATTTAGGCCCAACACCATGACTAACACTGTGTGACATTCCCGAACGATCCTAGTTACCTGCTCCTGGGTGCTCTCGCGGTGTTTGGTTCACACCTCAACTTTAGTACTTTTCCCACCAGATCATGACAATTGATTTATTTACCCACTTCCCAGTCTAGATTCTGAGCTTCCCAGGAACAGGGACCCTGCCTTACCCATTACTGTATCTCAGTGTCTAATGCAGAGTAAACTCTCAATAAGCATCTACTGTATGAATGAACGCTTGGACAAATGTATAAGTGAGTGAATACATGAGAGGCCACAGAGTAAAACTATTTCCAGTATTATTAGAAAGCATTTAGGGGGAAAGAGAGCTGCTGTTGTTGTTGCTTTAATGCTCTGCCACTATCAGATTCTCACTGCATCTCATAAAACTCAAGGAACTGGAGATCTATATAAAGAGGCAATCACTTTGCCTTCTAAGGACTGCCACATGGAGCGTGTGTGCTTCAGTCACCCTGGTGAAAATCACAGCAGGAGACCCTGTGCAAAGTGCATCCATCAGGCCCTAGCCTACCTCCGTGCAACTGCTGTTGGTCAGGAGCTGAAGCATCAGCCAAGTGACACACATGTGATCAAATACAATGTTTAGTATTCCCACATGCAAAGAGGCTACACATGACTCATGGGAATAAGGTCATGGGAGTGAGCAGGATGGGTAAAGACTGAAACCATGCCATAAGATGGACCATCACTCAACCTCCCCTTGGCTTCAAAATGCATATCTGTAAAATGGGCATAATGATAATTGCCTTACAGAGTTCGCAGGAACGAGTTAATATCTATAAAACTCAACACAATGCTTCAATCTCTACCTTTCAACAAACGTTCATGCAGCTAGTAGCTTGGACAAGATTCAAAAGACGTAATCATAAAAGCAAATCCATTTTGACTGCCACTGTCCCTAAAATCTGCCATGGTTTAGCTGAAGCCCTATCCTGGATAAAAATGTAAACAGTTCCAGTGATATTTCTCACCACTCTTAGAAAGCTTTGCCGTCACTCTAACTCTTTACTGAGAAATCAGCAAGTCCAGTCGACCAGGCAAAACACACAACATTCTTCTCTCCCAAGGCAGGGCCTCTCTCCCCTCCCCCACAAGCCACAGCCTTTGCCTTTGACATCTGCCTTTGACAATGGGTTGTGGTTCCCCAAGGCTTCCCTCTCTTGCTTACCTCCTTCCCCTCTAGGTAGCTGCTGTGTGTGACCTGTTTAAAGTCCATGTGGGAGGGGTTGGAGAGTTAACAGGGATGAAAACTCTTTCATGGATCCTACTGTCCTTTGATGGTTTCCTGTTGCCTGCACCAGGCAGATTTTTAAAACACTCCCTCTCTCTCTCTCTCTCTCATGCATAAGGTCATGGGTTCTCCCTGCTAGGTGCCTCCACTACGACTTCTCTTGGGTGGCTGAGCTTTTGCCCCTGGGGAAGCATCCCAGCCTCTTCCAGTAGTGCGGAGTCCTCACCCTGGCATGCTGCCCTCTTAAGCAGGAACCCTTTAAATGACCCCTGCCAATAGGCATGCCACAAGTTCTATATATCTCTCCAGGACTTTGCACCCCTTGGACCCCATAAGAGGGGAGGGCAGACACACCCAAGAGCAGCCCCCTTCTCCACAGGCTGCTTGAGTTTTCTTAGATGTGGGTCTGGCTCCAGACCTCTGCCCAAAGTGGTACCACTGATGACCTTCCTGCTGGACTTGAGGTGAGGGGGAGACATTCTCTATCACTCCCACTTGATGGTAGGCAGGAGCCGGGAATCTCAGCACAACATTTTCAAAGAAACCCTTACAAAAATATCTTCTTATTGTTTTTTATATTAACCCCCCTTGTGAGTGGGGGGTGTAATGGCCATCCAACTGATTTTGGGTTATCCACTTTGGAATCCTGCATATGGACCAGCGCCTCCTTTGCCCCTGTTGCATCTTGGTGCCTCAGAATTGGTGAATTTCGTGTCCTGTTACATTCATGACCACAAAAGTTCTTCTATATAGAAAATTAGATAGCCTATAAGGCTCCAGATTCAGCCAGTGTTTCTTAGAGTTTTTTCAACTCAGAACACTCCTTTATGAATAAACATTTATTTGCATTTACTTTTAAGGGAAAGTTTAAAGAAAAAAATGGCCTATGATCTGATCAGTCCATTCTAGTTGATGGCTTAGATACTAACTCTATGCACTTATTGTTTTCTCTCCCTGGAATGATCCCTTCACTCTCACTCCTAGGTCTTTGCATGGTTTTAAGCATGTCTGGGCTCACTGCTGTTCAGTTTCCAGCTCAACTATCACAGTGGCCTTGACTTATAGTGTCAGTTATTTTGTAGCACATATTCACTTGCATGCACTGTCCCCAGGCATCGAATATAACTCTCCACCCCACTGTTCACTTGGCTTGGCCACAGGACTTGCTTTGGCTGTGGGACATAAGCAGACAATGATGCAAACAAAGGCCTTCACCGGGCTTGCACAGTTGGGCTTGGCTCTTTTGCACTCTAGTGATTTATCATGAAAAGAGTCTCCCAGAAGAGCTGTTGTGCTTTCCACCCGGGACCCAGAATGAACAAATACAGCAAACTTCAGTGCAATCTGCAACCTGCAAACCCAGATGACTGACCCACAACTTCCTAGCCATGCCCAGCCTAGATCTGCTGAGTCACAGTTGACTAGCAGAATTGAACAACAGGATAAATGCTTGTGTTAAGGCATCATTTAGGGTGTTTTGGTTTTGTTTTGTTTATTGTATGGAGCATTTAAGGGGCAAGAATTGATGGTTATGCTATCTAAAATGGTCCTCCCTCTATTAATCTTTAACTCATTTTGTTATTTTTTTTTTTTAGCTCTTAGAACTCTCTGGTGTTTTCTTTTCTGTGTTTTCTTATTACTTTCTGTTTCTTCAGTAGTCTTAGTTTTCTGAAAGTTGGGATCTTGCCATTCTTATAGAGAGCATTACATTGCCCGGCACAGTAACCTTTCAAAAAATATTTGTGGAATAAATGACTGGATGATTAGTTATGCAACTTTAAAAAGCAGTAAGTACTAAGTGAAAGTTTAAGTCTCCCTTCCTGTGGTTTCTTTCCCCAAGGTAGCCTTTCTAGAATAATTTTTAGGTATCCTTCCAGGAGAAAAGAAAAGTCTATGTACATGTATAAGCACAAGGGAGGGGGGAGGGGGTCATAATTGAGAGAGAGGGATGTTTATTGTTTTTATAAGGTTCGGGGGCTGTTTCCATACTAACGGGATCACACTATTGTTAAATAACAAAAATGCAACTGAGTAAATTTTAAAGATCTCATTGGCTTTATTAATCAATTCATGAATTGAACAGCAAGCCTGTCTAGCAAGGAGAGGGGAGCTCCAAAGGGCTACAGAAAAGAAAAGGGTTTTAAAGTGAAAGAGGGAGTGGAAAAAAGGAAATTATTAACAAAGAATCCATTGTTTTAGGCAAGGTCACCCTAAGGGAAACGGAAGGGGTCTATGAGTAAATTTCCTAGCGCTGACCAGGAAATTCCCAGGTCGACTGGGTAAAGGTTACATTTCTGGGGGGCTGAAACTGCAGTCAGGTTAGGTATTAATTGGTTTACTAACTTGAGGCCTTAAAGCGACACCATTTGGGGCTTTGTGGTTTTCTTTTTAACACTATTCACTGTGCCCTTCATGTTGTTGTTGTTTTAACTTGAAATATATGTTGGAGATCTTCCAATATCCACACTGCTGTTTGTTCACATCAATGGCACAACGATACCCCACTGACTTAATTCAGCCACTCTGCCTTTAATGAGTCTTTTTTTTTTTCCGGTTCTATTTGGTTCTGTTATTACAAATGATGCTTCTGAAAACAACCTTGCATATTTCTCCTGAACGGAGATATAGCCCATCACACCAGTGACATTCTGAAACTCTGCCCTGGAGAGAGGAGGAACCCAACTTGTTGGGAATATCTAACTTTTGTGCCTTACCAGTTGAGAAGATTTTACAAGGCTTAACTCTCTATAGCTTGGTTAACAATATTCATTATTTCTCATTTCTTGGCTATAATATTATTTTCAGAATATTGCATATGAGTCTTTTCATCCATTGGCAGCCCCTCCTCCCTCTAACCCTCTAAAAAGCCAGCCTCCCTGGTTGAGAATTGCTATTGGGAAACATCAGGTTCCATTGTAATTCCTTCAGCCCAGAGATTAGAAAGTCCTGTACTCCCTCCTCTTCAAAGAGCACCGTGATCAAAACACCAGGGCCAGCTACAATGGTTTTAATCCCAATAACAAGAGAGTTTAACTGAAGAATTAAATGACCCCAAACAAAACTGAGGAAAAAGAACAAAGAATCAATTCTAAGC